AAATCTCGAAAATAAAAGATGGGAAAAAAATTCTACCTACGCCACTGAATTCTTCGTAAAAAGTTGCCCATATAATGTTTTATTTATAATACTCCATCTTTGATAATAAGTGAGATATTCGCGATTGTCGTTTTCGCAAAATTTTCAGTTTTTGCCGATAGGGCGAAAACAAAAGACGATAGCTGTTCGGAGTTTTCGGCATTAGCATTTTCTCGAAAAACGAGATCATGACATGTAAGCTACTTTTTCTCTATCTCTTTTAGTTTCGGAGATAGCCTATGCGGACATCGAAATTGGGACACCCTGTACAGTGGCGAGACAGTAAAATGACACTAGGCCGAGAGAGTAGCGTGGCACTCGGTCCAGTAAATAGAATACGGTCCGAGTGACTGTCTCGCCCCGGTTTTAGGTCGAGCGCTCGGCTGAGCACTCGGTAATATGTTTATACCAACCGAGGACTCGGCCGAGTACACTGTCTCGCCACTGTACTCGTTACGTGTGACCTAGGCTTAACTGCCAACTACGAGATAACCCGTACTTATTTTTCTTGCCTAGGACGCCAACTGCGGTTTATTTCGTAGCTTCATTGCGTAACATATTTGTACAGCTACGAATAAAGTTGTAGTATAATAGTGTAAATATGAATAGATGACCTCAGGGAAGAAAAGAAAGAACCAGGTCCAGGGGTTGGTTCTGTAGCCAAAGTAAAATACAAAAAATGCACAGGTGTTGAAAGACTGAGAATCATCCAACGACATAAATTCTATTTCAACACTCTCTAGTTTCTTAATTAACTTTAAAGCAGTGCACGGTTTTAAATGTAAGAAGGGAAAAATTGACCTTTATCTACTATAACAAATTTTTTAGTACCTAGCTTACTTTACATTTAATAACTATCACTCGGGTTTATTTTAAAATTTCCGTGCAGATATAAGTCAGAAATGGCCGGAAAACTGCTGATGTGTCTCTTGGACATTTCTTTTCGACTCTGTTGACATGACGCCTTTTGTTAACACTTTGTCCTGCATTTTTATCCATACAGTTCTTTTATGACAGCGGCAGGTACATGTTTCCTTATAAACGAAGAGCAAGAGAATTGTCAATTTTACTAAAAAAAAAGTACACATTGAAATATACACGGTGTAACAAGGTTTAAGAAAAGTTTCTTAAATACATCCTTTTTACACACTGTATTAAACGGTGCCAATACTGCCGATATATGGAGTATAGTATATTGTCAATAGTTTTTTTGACAATTCTAAACATGTACCGAACTTGTGATTAACATGGTATATTACCATGTTGTGCAATTCTTTATGTTCCACTTGAAATATGAAATTTCATTCAATATGTGTCATTTCTGGAGGTGTTCACAAATGCTCTGCAGAAAGAGATGAGTAGATTACTTTGGGTATTTGACCATATGCCATTCTGAAATATACTTATCACTATTTCCTTCAGACATTTGTGTACGTGCAAATTTTTTCTGCTTTGCTTTGGATAATATTTGTTTAATTGCTGGTTTCAATGGTAACAGTATGTATAAGCTATATTTTATATAAAAATTGAATGTTTTTTGAATGTTCTTGCTATGTGTTATAATCTTTCACGGGCGTCCAGATCTTTCTCTACGTCTTAATATTGTTTTTTAACTTGCTGCTTTAATGATGCCATTCGTTTAAACAATTCTGACTGTTTTTCTTCTTCATTGTTGCCTTTAGGTCCCTGAGTTTGAAAGTCATTCTTCAAATCATTCTCTAAAGTGTCCAGTTGATAAGTCAATTCATTTTCAATTGTTACGTTACAGGAACGCACCAGATCTCTGCGTCCGTTAACCCATTATTCTATATCCATCCGCATTCACACTTTTGCTTTCAAATTTTGGGTTTCGGTTACGTTCTGGTAGAAAATACTTTCGTTCCGAATACTCTTAATTTGTTAATATCAAAATGATTGACCTTCCTATACCACAGTTTAATTGGTGTAGGTGCCGTTCGATTAAATACAAAAACCGCCGTATTACAAGGTTTAGCCCAAAGTTTTATAGGTAATCCCTTTTGAGTAAGCATAGCACGAGCTGCTTCTATTACAAAACGACTTTCAACATAAAACTGCGTTTTGATAAAGTGTCTTTCAATGTTTTGTTTAGAAATTCAGTTCCCGTGGCACACAATAATGTTTTAATACGAACACCTGCAGTATCTTCTTCGTTAAAAAAGTTTCAATACACTTTGCTGCCTCAGCTTTGGTCTTAAGGCAAAACAATACCTTGGCCCACTGATATCGTCCAATCAGATCGGACCAGATTGGACCTATGTCTCATCCGACATAGGTCCAATCAGATCGTATATAAATCTGATAGATTCATTCACAGTCAAGCTCAGCTTTCTTTTTCTTTTTGAGTTCACTATTTATTTCATTAAATAAATTATGCAACTCATCGATATGGGTAATCATATCAATTGCATTGACTTAGACAATTTAAATAAGAGTATTTTTGTATGTAAAATTGTATGCTCCTTGTGATTTGTAGCTCTTATTGGTCGTAGCTCGACAGCGAAAAAACTTATGATTTGATTTATAAAAGGAGCAGTGTGTGATAACAAAACAAGTTTCAAATTCTTATTTCTCGTGCTCGAAAACATAAACTACCAAATTTTATGTTAATAGTACAGAAAGTTTCAAAATTATCAAGAAATTTCGAAAGAAGAAATTAACTTTCAACATCCTGTACCTCCGGTATTCGGATTTCCCATTCTTTCTGACTCACCCTGTATATCTCGTGTGGTTACAATATTATTAGCGTCAAAATTGATCGTAAAACATTAAAAAAACCTCTGAACTTGTGGTTGACAACTAGTCGATACCAGCTACCTTCGCTGTTGTGTTAAATGGATGATTTAACTGCATTCTTTCTGCTAACTCAAATGTAATCCGACGAGCATCCAAAGGAGTTATTCTAAATATTATAAAAGTATTATATTATAAAAGCGTATTTCTAATTAGCTCTTTGAGATTCTAGGTTTATTATTTATAACAGTATTAAAAAATTCCCAAGTATAAAATATTTTATTTTTAAATGAGTATTACAAACGAGTCTACAGTGCTACATTAATGTTTAAACCAACCAGGTAAAGACCACCTGGTTGGTCAAGCACGACTTCAGATAGGAGAGGAAATATCTGAGGAAAGTATCGGATGTTGTTTCTTTTATAAGTATACAAAAACATTAAAATGAAGCTTTCTCTAAATAAGTCTTGGAACTGTCAAATTTTCTTTAAAAAAATTCTAAGTATCCTTTATAATAAATCAATTATTAGGTAAAGTGAATCAGCAGTGAGATCATTTCATTATTAAAAAAAATGGACAGTTCCACGTTTAATATGCAGTGGAGGCAGCAATATCTTCTCTTTCGGCACCAGAGGTGCACGAATAATATTGCCCATTTCTAACTTGCTGTGCTCTCTGTGTTTCCATTCGTGGCATGCATATTGGTCTCCGGTAAATCGTGTGTCCCAATCGCACAAAAACCACATATATTTTATGTAGCCGCTTCAAAGCCACAAAGCATTGCTACAACTTTTAAGCCGACGTTACACGTCGCAATTGACTGCTGAGCGGCAACGGAGGAGCGTGGTTTGACTATTCCCGTCAAAATTTAATAGCTCATAGATGTTCAAAATGTTTTTCATCTTTTTCGATTCGCATTTATTCACTCTAGTTTTGATAAAAAAAACTGCCACTTGAATTTCGGCCCTGGACAAGTTTCTAATGGCACTTCGTATTCTCTCCATCACATTTTCCTTGGTGGTTGGTTTTTCTTGAA